CGAGAAGCAATATTGTACTTTCCGGATGCCACTCCACTATCCGAGCTACAAGAAAACCGACTACGAGAACATGTCGGAGTGGAAACTGGACTGCCTGCTGAAAGAGTATGGACTTCCGGTTATTGGAGATGTCAACCAGAAGAGAAAGTTCGCCATGGGAGCCTTCCTTTGGCCTGATCAGTATGAATGAAAGTCCACATCACAACCTGTTATTTAGTACGTAATAATATTATCGAGTCCACGATATAGTTGGTTGTGTATTGATGTATTTCCCAGTACGCTATGATATAGTTGGTTGTGTATTGATGTATATCCCAGTATGCTTTAAAAAGTGTTTGATGGAAATTTAGATTTGCTATTGTATGCATATTCTGCTGTCAGTCTGTATTTGTGCTTTTCATGTAAAAATAAAAATAAAAATTATATGATTTAGCGAGAACGTTCTGATTGTGTGAGCTATGCTTTAAAGTTGGTGCAATATTGAATTTCATCAAAATCGGTTTGGTCTCGAGCAACCAAGTACACTAGTCCAAATAGAATTTTTTTTCTATACCTTGCAATATTAAAATAACGCCAATATAAAAGATCGCACTCAAGGAGAGAACTTGGCTATTGAGAGAGGAAGAAATGGGTATTTTCTTTTCTTTTTTCCCGTGCATTGCTAATTATAAAACTGGACAACTATGAAAAGCACATATAGGCAGCAAAGAAATAGGAAACATTGCAACTAATTTCCACTAAAAGAATGAAGGTACGAGTTCAAGTAAGTCCACAACAATTTGGGTTTAGTTTAAATAAATTGATAATGGTAAACTAAGCACGAGCTTGGCAGAGTAACTCTGCAGCTCGGAAAGGTCCAACCCTGTAGCTCTTTGCTCTTTAGCTCACCAACGTCCCAGTTCAGTAACTTCTTAATTCTCCACCTTTTGACTAATTCAAACCAATTGAGATATGCCTGCTATAGGGTGCCATCATCTGTTTCATTTTTGGTGTCGCCCAATTTAAATAATAATTAAAGATCTTTTAATAGTTCAACTTTCTGACGAATCTGGCCTATAAAAAGACCATGCTAGACATTATCGAGGTAAGTTGATTACTCCCAGTAAAATATTATCATTTTTAATCATTCTTTTTTGACTTTATCATCGAATAGTCGACCACCAGAGTCTATCCAGTCCTCGACTTCTCTTGCAGTAACATTCCCACTGATGATCAAGGCATAATTCCGATTAATCATATTGGTGGACAATTTTTGGAATTAACAGAAACTATTGGCTCCAGTGAATTGTGTCATTTCTGTGATTTTGAAACTCACGTAGAGGTCCATGCATTGAACAAGAACCTATATTTTTATCAACCGCCAAAAAAATTGGAGATGAAACCCACTTGATGAACAAGAACCTATTAGTTACTTAATCTCTCACAAGTCGTGATCTTTTAGAGAGTATTTCTTGGGGGTGTATCTTAGAAGCCTTCGGACATATTTTGAACTATATTGTATGTCTATGTTATTTTATAAATAATATCTCTATCTTCCAAAAATAGCAATGGTTAAACCGTTTGACGAAGCAAAGATAAACAAGGATACGCCAACACAGGTGGAATGAGTATCATAACTCCATCGTTTTTTCGCAAGTTCAACTGGTCTCGCAATAAATATGACAATTACGTGTGCCCTCTTAGCCAGGGCACCCTTGTGGTATCAAAAACGTACCACCTATTATTCTGGACCCTTCAATTTTTTCTTGGATATGCACAACTGAGTTCCTGCCCATTCATTTTTATTTTTATTTTTTGATTTAATAGTTAGGAGTGTTTGAGTCAGTTTAAACACATATCAACTAATCCTTTCTTCGCTTCAATCAAAGGCAGGCTATCTATGCGGAGACTGAGAATTCATGATAGATAAATTTCTTGTAGCCTGATCCTAATAAATTATCAAAATTCAAATTCAAAACATCTGAATGTATAATTCATTCATATATTATCACTTGAACTACTTCTTATCCTTATTCATATTTCTTGCTCGACATGACAAACAATCAATCAATTCGTCCATCAAACAACGGCAATGGATAAACATGCATTCACGCATCTCTCTCTCTCAGGTATCCTAAATGAGGTGGTGGAATAGCCATCGACGTAAGTGTGCAGTTCATCATCAAACTTACTGATCTTTCACCTATTTAATGCAGGTGGAGGGATGGATAAGTTTAAAACCAGACATCTGTAATGGATTCCTACAGTCTAGAGATAAGGATCGATGAAGCATTCTAATCACCACAGCGACCTAACATTGAGTTGATAAGCAATGACCTACACTATGATAATTGAGTTGACAGAGAAACCAGAAAGTAGAAACCCTTATTCTTTTCTGAAGGTGAGAACTCTCTTATTTTCAATTGAAATGCCAAATGGCACTTTGGACGTTGATGTGTCATAATATGCAAATGGGTTTCATTAATTATGTAATTGTTGAGTTGAACAAGTGGCTGCAAAGGATGATTGATGGATTATTCTTTCAATTTCAGAAAATTACGTATGAGTACTATGACATTCTTGTCAAACAACCAACCTGTGCCTTAACAAAAACCATGAGAGTTTGAATTCGAATAGTGGATTAACAGTCGTTTATTTGTATATATAGAGTAAAATCTCTCTTGCATTCATGTATGTGATCTCCTATTAAGAAAATTAAAAGCGAAAATAGATCATGGAGTGAAAGTCGCCTAAGCCGAGGTATTCTCCTAAAGAATATAACTAGCTTATTACCAGCGGAATGATAAAAGTCTTTTTTCTTACAGTGCCTTCTTCAATGAAAATGTACAAAATTTTTTTGTATTAAACCATGTGAAATAATATAAGAGTCAAATATGTTTGCTGTGTTTATGATGCTGGAATAGCTAGCAATCTAGCATAGGACTTGTGCATTTCACGGACAACTCTAATCCATGTTGTGGAAAGTGAACCACCATGCAGCCAAACAAACCCAGTTTGAGCAACTATAGAATGGAATGAGGATACCGGCGGACTAGTGCATCTCATCTTAATGTTAAAAGTTGGAATTTTAAAATTTGTATGGTTGATCGTTATGTTAGCCTAATTAAATTAGAACCGAGAGAAGTAACGAACATGGTCAATCGGATGATCTATGGGCGCTCTCTTTTGTCCATATCTTTTTTTAGAAGAGCGATGTTATCAAATTTACCGACCTAATTTAGATTGATTATAAGTTTCATTAAACATTGAAATTTAGTATTAATCCAATAATTTTAATAAAATCACATATTAAATTAAACCAAAATTTTAGGTTCAAATAACATTATTTTTTTTCTGTTACGAGCAAAGCTGCGAAGAGAAAACAAGGGAAGGGACATAATTTATTAAGGAAGAAACCAAATAACCTAATTTTAGACTCTCCCTCATGAGATCTTGCCACGTGGAAGAATCTGGAGCTATCATGCGGCGCCAAATATGGGGACCTGGCTGATTCCCCGCCGGCCGATCACATGGGATTATGACGCAGGTGCCAGACTTTGAGACACGCTGGTGGACCCCGACAAACCTTTGACCGGGCACCGGCTTTCCCGGTTGTCTCTCCCCATGGAAGAATCCCATGAGGTATATAGTATATTATATAGCTGCAAAAGATAAAAAGAAAAAAAAAAAGAGAGGGGGGGGGGGGGAGGAAAACCCTCTTTTGGTTTGGTGCTTTTGCATATCATCCCCCTTGTCATTCTAAAATAGAACATAACCTCCTTGTGATTAATGGTACTAACTCTGTTAACAAAAAAATTAAAATGACCATAATACTTCCATCTTCAGCAACAAATTCATCCTTCTCCCACGCATCCGCATCCATATCTCTCTCACCCCTTCCTTGGTAGACTAAAAACCTTCGGAAATTCAACATCTCAATTTCAAAATGAATCGAAAATATATAATAATTTTTCTCAATTAAATATGTATCCATATCTGTGTGTGTATATATATATTCAAATTTAAATTTGTTTTAAAAAATTTAATCAGATTTGAGTAAACAGATTACAATATTAATTCATATTCGATTAAATTGACTTGAATTCGGATTCAAATCCTTTCATTGACAAGTCTACTTTCAACCATCTCCGCACCCTCAATTTATATTTTGAAAAATTAAAGTTTTTATATCGCTGCTTTCTCAAACAAATAAGTAGTATTGTGTTCCATTTTAAGAAATTCAGTAGCGAAAATTTCTATTGAAAATACTTAAAATTGAGTATTATGTAAATAATTGTGTATAAAAATAAGTCCATTTGACAACTACAACAAAAATATGTTAAAAAAAAAGTTTTTATCTGATTGAGGCGTGAATATGAGAATTTTGATATTTTAATGTGTAGATCAAAATTAATCTTTTAAATACAAAAATGTATAAATTATAATTTGACCCTCCAATTATCATATTTTTACATTACGCCATCAATATATGTAATTTTTTTTTGATTGACAGAACCACTACAACACTATCACTTAAAAGTGGAAGTATCATAGGGCCTGCCTTATACACACACACAAAAATCCAAGGCTATTCGATGTGGGATAGCACTAGCCCCGTTGTAATCAACTATGTAATTAATTTCACATTGTCTCTATTATTAATGTCTATTACATATTTAACAAAAAATATATAATTTGTTTTTTCATTTTTTTCACCTGAATTATGTAATTTTTTTTTACTTTGTCCCATACATCAATAGTTTTCATCAAAAAAGATAACAGACATTTGCGATTGGATCAAAGTAGTTAAGGGGTTAATGAAGAAAATCAAAGTAGTTAAGGGAGTAATGTAAAAAAATCAATAGTTTGAGGGACAAAATAAATCGAATCCATAGTTGAAGCGGTTAAAATGTAATATACACGAGAAAGTGTCATTTTTCTTTTTTTATTGAAAATCACAAAAAGTGTCATTCACCCCCACCACTTATCTATCTTTCAGCGTCCTTTTATTTGAATCCGAAGCGTTTTGCTTTTGAGCTGCGAACACATCTGCCTTCTCTCTCTGTGCGGTCTCTCTCTTCAGCAATTGGGGATTTTCTGAGGGACATCGCAGATCAAATTAACGGAGTGACAAAAATGGCCATATCTAAAGTTTCGTTTGCTGTCGCTGCTACATTTGCTCTGGTTTTTGCTATCGTCTTGCCTGCTGTTCACGGTCACTCTATGCCTCCTGCTCCCGCCCCTGCCCCAGCCAGTGATGGTGAGTTTCAGTTGCTTTCTTGCTCTGTCATTTACGCTTCTGTTTGGTTGATGAGAAAATGTAGGAAAATATGTTCTTTCAAAAAAAAAAAACAATAAAACCCTTTTGCTTGTTTGATTGATGAGAAAATGCAGTACAAGGTAATCCTTCAATTACTCTATTGTTTGTTTCAAAGAAAATGCAGTTTAAGGGAAAGAAACTATGGTTTTGTATTGTGTTTCCTTCTTTTGCAGCTTTTTCCAGTATGAAGAATCTTCGACATTGTTCGCGATTATGAAAATTGGCTCTTTGAATCTTTAAATGGACATTGTACATGAAAAATAAAGGGGCATAACTATTTGCATTTGCCATTGTCTTTCAAATCACGAGGATTTGAAAGGCAAATCTCGAAAGGCTAGTCGGCACAAACCAGAACACTCTTTTAAAATAAAAATATCACGGTCATTCAACAATGTATTCGGAAGCGGTAATTTGAAGGGAAAAAAGTTAGAATGCTAAAGTCTTAATGGAGTGAAAAAACTCACGAGGTTCATTCCATTTAAGTTTAATAATAGGATGAAAAGTTTTGGAGCACAAATAGATATAGATATATACATAAGATAGAGCTGTTAACGTTAGTACCATTTTCGCTTCAGGTACAACAATTGATCAGGGAATAGCATGCGTGCTGATGCTACTTGCATTGGTGCTCACATACATTATCCACACCCTGGATCTACCTTTCAATTTCTGAGTTGACTCAGGAAAATTACCAGTTTCAGCCTCTGGCCAGAAGGATTGGAAAAGTCATAATGGAATGAATTCTAGTAGTGTTTTTTAGTAGGAAGTTTGTAGATGGACATGCATGTAGCGGGTTGTATCCAGTGTTCTGACTTAACAGATTGTTCCATTTGGTGCTGTTGGTGGTGCTATATTCATCTTGGTTGATAATTTGATTCACTCTTTTTTTTATTCTTTCCATTTTTTCTTCTTAATTTCTCGTAAGAGTATAACTATTTTCCTTTAAATGTTTTCCTCTGAGGAATTTGGTGCTCTACTGGATGATTAATGGAGTTGATAATGAGGTGATTGCTTTAAACCTTACATTTCGGATTTTTCAGTGTCATTTTGTATCACCCTTTATATGGACTCCATGGTCTTGCACACGGTCACTCCCATCCCCATGCATAACTGTAAGGGAGTGAGACGGGGAGGCAGAGATAGAGAGAGACGTAGTGAAAGTGACCCAGAGAGAAAAGTTCATAACGACTAATGATAGATCCTATGCCACAGGATATGTTTGCAAATTGGTGCGTTTGACACATTTTGAAATAAGAGTTGGTTTAGAAGAGAGAGAAACGGCCAGCTTGCGTGCAATTCAAGTAATTTCTTTCCTGATTCGATTAAAGACAGATCATTCACATCGGAACAAGAGTATTCATTAGGAATTTATCTCTCTTGACTTGACCTTAAGGATTGTTAAGATTTGAACAAAGAGAGGTCTGAATTATAGATCATTCTTGTTACTACTTGAGTTAGGGTTTCATTTACATACTTCTGTCTAACGTCCAAGTTTGAAGAAATAAAATTAGGTTAATATCAGCAAAATATAATAAGTAGACGGCAGTTTCTTGTTTGCCACTTGCCATAATTGTAGCGTCGACTCATTCCTAGCACTCTTAATTAATCTAGAAGATACACAAGCAGAAGGGTTAAAACTGCCCAGGGATTGAATCCTGTACAACATTCCAAAAGTCATCATATAACTGTAAGTTTGCCTCGAATTACAAACTATGAGTGCAAAAAAGTAAGCTGAAAATCACTTAGCCAAGTACTGCAATGAAGGAAACAGCAAAGAAAATTAACCATGTCAGAATTTAATGTCAACTTCATATTCTATTGAAATTTTCTAATTCAATTACAATGTAAGCGCCATCAAATAAATATAAGCTCAATCACAATTTCATAGCACAATTACAAAAAATGGAAGTTTTTAATCTTGTCAGAAGCCTCAAAGAGAAATCGTACTTCAATCACGATTTCTTATTACTAAGATCAGCCTCTCCTTGGTCATCTTGTGCCAGTGAGAACTTCTTCACTTTCTGTAGAGAAAAAAATAAAGGTAAGTAAAAATCAAGATATTCATTACGACTGCAAATAAGAAAATAGCTAACGAGAAAGCAGCTATAACCACAGGTGCTTCAGCCCAAGTGGTAGAACCTGCACTTCCCTAGGGGGAAGGCAAGGCCCAATGGGCCATGGGGTAGAGAGTTGATAGCTCCAGCCTATAAGCTTGGGTGGGGGAGAAACTTCTAAAAACAAAAATGCACTACATTCCATGCACCTTTACATTAGGCAATTGTTTAACAAGATACAAGATGTGGCTTAATTCTTACATCTAATGGTTGTCTTTTTGATTTCTTGTTAGCCACCTAAATCAATTCACAATTCACAATTCTCAGGTCACAACTAATGCATCATTTGTACCAGATGATACAGCTCAATAAGCATTTAAATCCTCCAATGGGCTGCCCAATTTTCTATATTGCATTCTCATAAGTCAGCTAGAAATCATATCAAAACTAGAGAGTTGGATGTACAGTCCATCTTCGACGTCAAAGTGGACTTTGAGAGCCCATACATTCTCATAGCCAGAATCATGGCAGTAACTCCGTCTCTCTGCTCCCTATATTTCCAATGTCACGTCTAAGGAAAATCTAAGCAACACATGGACAAAGTATTTCAAGGGTAACACAAAAGAGAATCGTTCAGTCGTTGCCTGGTTGGTCTCAATGAGGATGTTTACATATGAAAAGTGCCAAGCTTATAGCCACCTTACTAGGACATCAAGCACAACACTTGACCCGCTACTAGAAGATAAATGACAAACGAAACTTTGTTGCAATTACGACAGTTAAATGCAAAACCTCATCGACTTTGAAAGCATCATCATTTAAAGCTCTGGGAAGATATATTACTCTGCATTCCGAGGCCCCATGAACCATAGATTTCCAAAGGAATCTTAACCATGCTTACAGAGGAGTTGAATGTATAGTTGTGATTGCTGATTTAATAGGATGACAGAACACAGAATGATTATTTAGACTGAAGTATAGAAACAAATATGCAGGCATAAGAGTGGGCCATTAAAAAAAGTGTTTAAATTTCATCTTTTCCCTTTTAGCTTCGGACAATAGAAACTGGTTATAAAGAATACTGACCACCAACGGAAGAGGGAAGGAAGGAGATTCAGGCCTACAACGAACTGAAGGCCTGGATGTTCCCAGTGCCACTGGTCCATCCCACATCGTCCTCAAAACTGTTCAATTTAGAAATCCAGGATTTTTCCTAGTCTCCCCGTGACTATTTCACTTAAAGCTAACACACATTAAGCATTGCTTTGAACATTCAATCTTTAAATGGGATACAAATTATACTTAGGTCTATGAACTAAAGCTAACAAGGGTCCTTCCATAACACAGTCAACAACATACTTCACCGCAAAATTCATCTATTAATCGATTAAGTAAGTACCAATCGTATACTGCCACAAAGCCATCAACACCAGAAGATCGGTTCACAAACTACCCTATAGAAACTCAACAATTTTAGCACAATTTACGCCAGATTTCGATTAAAACAAAAGAGAAAAGAAACCCCAAAACATCAAAAGTACCAACACATCGAAACATCACATACATGTATACAAACATATATTCAAACGATACCTTGTTGAGGACGCAATCGCGTAAGGATTGCAGGAGACGGAGGCATTTGTCCTGATCGTACGGGGTCTCGGTGACGCAGTTGAGCAGATTCAAAGCCTCTTGAGCGCATACGGGCTGAGGAGTTTTATCCGAGTCCATTGACTCTGTTCACAGTAAGGTTAGGGTTTTTGGAGATTAGGGGTTTAGGAATGGAGAAAGAAGAATTATACATTTTATCGTTTGTGGACTGTTTGGCGGTTGCAGGAAACAAGATTACACGGACAAGGTGCCCCAAAATTTCCCCTAAACAATGTTCTTGGGCCCATTTATCGTAAGCCCAGAATTTCATAATTGGGTTTCAAAATCACATTATTTAAAATATGTTTTAGGCTTTTGAGCCCATTTTCATTTATGGTAGCCCAGAATATTACAATTGGGTTTCAAATTCATGAAACACGATTTGGGCTTCAAATAACTAAAAGCTGATTTGGCCCAAAAGGTTTTGGCCTACCAAATGACCCTGTAACTTTCCCACAGGTGGGGGCAACAAGCCATAGGCAGTGCAGTTTGCAAATTGGTTACACATCATGGACCTAGATTTTGAAAACACGAACAACCCATTTCAATAGTATTGTGGGAAGGGAAAGTGGGGATCTTTTTTTTTTTTTTTTTTTTTCTGATTAACAATTTTTAAAAAATTCTTAATTACACTATTTCCTAGAATGTGTTCGTTGTCCAAGTCCAGTATCCACAATGAAATCCTAAACATCCATATAATTTTCAAATGCGGAGGATTTCAAGTTTCCATCTACATATGAATGCTTCTTACTCATCAAAGCATAATTCATTTTCCAAGAATAGCGGCTCCTTCTTTCTTCCTTCTAATTGGTAAGAAATTAGGTTTTTCTTCAGGTTCCTCCCTTATCTTAAATGTAGAAAGAAATGTTTAAACAAAAAACACTTTCAAAGCTAACGCACCAATCCTCTCTTATTGTCTTATTTGAATCGCCGTTAGGAGGTCGAGTACCAAAATATAGAAATACTACTATGTTAGTTCACTCTTGAAAACTTAGTCATGATTGTTCAAAATCTCACTAGTGCAAGTAGGGTAAGAGCCTATTAATTTTTTTTCCCAGCACTCTCCTTGGTATGTATATATATATATATATAAGCAAATAAACTACTCCAATAACCAAACCAGAAAAGAAAACAAAAAGGGTTAACAATAGACTATTTGACACTCAGGGGTATCAACCCCAAAAAGATCTCTGCATTGTGCTCCATCACTGTCCTGTCGGTAGGTGAGAGCAACCCAAAGAATCCTACTTGCCTACTTTTCGACCCTCATTATATGAGCCAGACAGTTATTTGCGCTCTTCGTTTCTCTTTTTTTTTTCTCTGTTTATTATTTTGTTGTTCTTCTATGCCCCCCTCCCCCTTTATGCCTCACCATGCCTTATTGCAGCAATCACCCATGGTTGCCACGTGGACCTATCTCCCAAATGGGAAGCCAAGCAGCAGAAAAGGAAACATAGTTGCACAAATATCCCATGCACAATCCATACGAGTATGACCCCCCGCCCCCCCTCCCCCCAATTGCCAGAAATATTGCATAAGTGCATTAAATGATGATGTCCACTACAAAGATTTTTTTTCCCTTTTTGTTTTACCTTGAAAATTAAACAAAATATAGTTAATTTTGAAAGAATTTATTATCAACCTCTTTTAAGGTAAATCCATTTGTCAAGACCCAAGAATGTACTGAACATTTGGGCGGCGAGATTTGATACTTGATCGGAAGAGAATTCTTGGTCCTGAATATCTGAATTGATTGTTCATTGTTCAAGAATTCTTGATTAAGCAGTCCATACCATCCATACATAATGTTTTGATTTAAAATTTCAATTCTTTCGTGTTTCGATAGTAGCATATTATTTCATAGAGCTATATATGTTATTCTATTTTCAAATGTTTTCATCAAACATACTTTCATTTTATACAAGTAACACATTTAAAAAGCACTTCTAAATCATAAGTTCACCAAGATTTACGGGTCTATCCCAAATGATTAATCCCATCTTAAGGGACCGGAGGTCACAGGCTTAACCAGCTTCAGTCCAATTGTCCAGTACAATGGTGGCTGATCATATCAGGCAAGTTGCGAGTGCGGGTGGTTTGGGGGACCAGAACAAGTGCACTGGTTGCACTTTGGTAGAGACGACAGACCGTTCCTATGTGTACGGCCTCCATCGGTTTCCTGTAGTTGCAGACTGTGCAAACAGAGAAGATCTCTCTACTGGTGATATCCTCAGAAATTATTTGGCATGTTACGGTACCTTGAGAAATTTTGTTCATGGTTATGCCCAAATGTACCATAAAATTCGGTATCATATTGA